AAAGTCAAAGATTATTTGCCAAGTTCCTCTCACCGATTTTCTGAGTTATCCCATGTACTCACAGGTTTGAAGCACTGCTTGGTTTCACAAAATTTGAATAAAGAATTGGAATATATAACATAAATGGACGAGATAAAAGAAAGTCTTTACATGTCATCTGTAAGACTAGGAAGTTTTTATATAATTCTAAAAAATAACTGCTAATACATTTAAATTGGTATTAAGAAAAACATATGTTTTGTCATTGTTTATGAAAAATACAAGGGTAATGCATTGGGTTTGTAGGTAGATAGGCTCTTCATACCATTCTTTGTTTAAACTGAATGTTTTTTCAATGGTTTAATGCTCCATTGATTTAAATCTAATACTTAAACCTGACAAGTGTGTGCTAAGGAATAAGTTAAACATAGTGTTTTTCAAATGTGCCACGGCTATCACCAAAGTAGAAGTCTGGAGTAGTATTATAAATAACAACCGTCAAATGTAAGCTGGGTGGTAAACAAGTTTATACACAAACATCATAACATTATGTTTCATACTCCAAATGATATATGGCGCATGATTAGCTATCAAAACATCGCTTTATGTTTATTATACAGTTTATATATCTTATCAAAATGATTTAACCATTAGTCTGTCAATTGCTGTTGCTTTTGTGTTCCCGGACTTTACAACATAACACAGATCCATACTCAGTTGAATATGGTATTTCCAATTACAACTCACGTTTGATATTTTCCCATCCAAGAAACTGGCTTAACTGTGGATGATACAATGTGGCACAATTAATTTACGCATTTTACATTCCTCAGTTTTCCAGAATGTTTCCATTTCTTGATAGAAAATTATTGAGATCCACTTGCCAGCTTTTCAGTAACACTGACATTTTAACATTTCTCACGTTTGTCCTTACAAGCATACTGTCTTAGTATAAATAATGAAGCCGGTTTCGATATCAATAGATTATGCACTCTTTTTTTTTGCAATGTTTGCATAATTCCATTCACATATATCCAGTGTTCAAATCTAGTATACATTTCTCTGTTTTTATACAGCTGTTCCTTTGTCATGTTATTGCGCAGTAATTGTCTATATAACTTCCTTCACATAAACTGTTGATTCGATCTGACTTTGTTTGATTTTAATTACTGGGGTTAATATGACAATTGGGTAAACAATTTACATAACTGTGGATTTGGCATTTCATTTTTTCAGATTGAAAGAGTTAAAATGTGCACTGTGTGATTGTATGTATACGACTTATGACATTTATTTTTTTTAATCACAATGCCAATAAATTTCTTAAATACATAAACATAGGACAATATCATTCATAATATAATTATACCACTATTTACTATATACACATTATTAACTAGCAGAGTTAATTAAATGACATACTTTCCATGCAAGAATTACCCGAAATGCTGTCTCTGATGTAGCAAAATAACTACATATATTCTATTAGAGAACGCCACACTCATTATGGCGCGTCATTGAATGCACATATTTTAATAATATAACACCAGTTCTACGACATAACATGCATTCCTGTATTCTTTGTACTCTTTGTACAAATCTTATTCTCTGATTGACTTTCAGTTTAGTTTAGTACAGAGTAACGTTTTTGGGATATCATTACCTGAAACAGTTATTTTCCGTTCAACTGCGATATCTTGTAAGTTGCGTGAAAGACGCGCGCCGAAAGTTTGCCGGAAAAAAATCAAACGATTAGATTTTGAGCCCGAATTCCTTTATTTCGTAGCTTTGATTAGCTGATCTTTTACAGAGGAATTTTGGGTTTGAATACTCTCACTTCATCTAAATTGACCATCATAAAATGTGTACAGCACATTATTGAGCATGAAAATATCCCCAAAATACTCTCGAATTTGTTGCCACTGCGACGCTATTACCTTTGTTTCTCCTGTTTTTACGTTCGATTTCACGCATAACGCTGGATCTCGCATTGAACGGAAAATAGTCGCACGTTAACAATAGTCAAAACATGTTGAAGGAATATCTAGAACGTCACGAGGAAACGTACATAGCAATGGTTTGAAGTTCTTACAAGTTCTTTAATCATCTTCTGTGAAACTAGAAAAATAGATTCATTCACCCTAACACTGAATAGCCGAGCCAATTGATGTCCAATTGATCAGTGTTTGTGTATATAGTATGTGAATTCTCTATCAAATAGCATTCAGACTTCATCTAAGCATTGCCTTCGTTTTGTTAATTTCTTACCCAAACACTGAGATACAATTTTATTGCTAAGCAATTGTGAGAAACATTTGTAAAAGAATGAGCTTAAACGTAGCTTAAAAGTTTTCTTTGCATCTGAACAATCTCCATTAAAATTGTGAACAAACATAGTTAAACATAAACAAGAAACATGTGACAATGTTAGCATTTAGCTGAAGGTGTTCACTGAGTAAATGTGTGGTCAGCGATATTTAATTATCACTACCTAAGAAGTATTAGGATATTAGCGAATAAAATATACTAATCGTGGTTGTGTGTTAATATCCCAAAAGCATAATCTTCAGTGATGAACGATTTCAGGTTAAACAATGTCGATGCTTTGAACTGTCTTCGTGTCGCGAAATTACTTCATAGACGCACTTCATCGCGAGAGGGCGCGATTGATAGGAAAAGTCTACTGTCGTCGGGGCGGACATCCGGGTGTTTTTACCGACTGGCAACCATCACGGTGAAAAAAAAAACTCCGAAAATTCTCATAGAACTGTACTTTGTGATAGTTGTTGAGACTCTGCTGAACAGTATAACAAGATTACCCCTACATATAATAATTCAGCTGCTAAGAGTTACTTCAAAGTTGGGTTTGAGCTGTTTCCTCCACTTTAGTTGTTTCCATTGGCTCTTCGACCGGAGTTCCAGCAGCTCGTGCAGAGCCCATCGAAATAGTACAGTGATGCGCGTTTAAGCAACATAGAACGTTTTGTGACGTAGCTCAGCCACTCGAGGATACACTTCAATCAGATGGGCGATATTCTCTGCTTAAACGTTCTACAAGCTAAGCTTTTTATCAAACCAATTAAATAGTTATTGCGTCGAATTAACCAAAGCAAATGTCCCGGATATTGTATTTACACTTGATTCACCAATCTGGGCATTTCTCAGTAAATCGCGCCACCCTGTGACGAGGTTTCACTTCTATCGTCAGCCTGTTCTTTATAATAGTATCTCAATATATATCTAACTGTTAATGCGATATACCGAGGTTGTTGTATTTGTTATTTGTTTGATGTAAACATTTTGAGAACTGAGCTCACTGATCTCCCTCCTGTACAAGAACGATGTTGTCAACCGATTTAGCTTGATCTTGCAACACGTGTGGTTATAATGAATGCAACATTTTAGAATTGCACGAGAAAATCCAATCAAAAATCATAGAATTCAATAGGTGTGTCACAATCCTATCATGGCTCAGACTATAATAATTGAGCTGAAGTAATCAGTGAACTATACATAATTGTGTGAATATCAGTTCAATACAATAGCTGGTAAATATGTAGCTATATATCGATGGCGCTGGAGAAGTGTTGAGTGACTTTTGACGTTAAATAAACTCCTAACAGCGAACAGCGTCCACGGCGATCATTGCCAATACTGATGCATGTGAATAGCGCCCTCCATGGCTCTTCTGATTTAAGTTTATCTTCAACAGTGCTATTACTAATATGTGGTTACAGCGCCCCCAAGTGGGGAACATTTATGCGCTTTTGTTTGACATTCCTGTTCAGTAAGACGCCCTCAATGGTAAATTTTATAGATGACAACAATGAGCGAAAATATAATCTTATAATACATGCAGCGCCACCAGTGGTGGGTTATTCAACTGTTATATACATTATTATTATTTTTTTCAACGCACTTGTGTGTGGGCAACAAAACAAATGAATGAATGTTTAATTGATTAAACATCGAGTAAGGGAAAAATGTACATTTAATATCTCACATCGTTGCATTGAAAAATCGTACATGTAAACAGCCTAAGTGTAGCAATTGTGTTGATATGGACGTAAAGCTCAAAATAATGAAAACCTTGATGTTGTCGGCCCATTTTTTTTAGATCAGCAGCATTGAATATGGAATTGTTGTTGTAATTGGTGAGGGTCCAAACTATTAAATAACAAACACACACGCTAGCTTATATTACGTATATATTATATATTAGCATTGAATATGGATTTTTTGTTGTAATTGGTGAGGGTCCAAACTATTAAATAACAAACACACACGCTGGCTTATATTACGTATATATTATATATTAGCATTGAATATGGAAATGTTGTTGTAATTGGTGAGGGTCCAAACTATTAAATAACAAACACACATGCTAGCTTATATAACGTATATATTATATAGTAGCATTGAATATGGAATTTTTGTTGTAATTGGTGAGGGTCCAAACTATTAAATAACAAACACACACGCTGGCTTATATTACGTATATATAGAGTAGAGGACTTTTCCCATTATTTCAAACAATTGGTCATTCTCTGTTTCATTGAAACAATTTGCGCATCATTCACGATAATTATTCAAAGTTTCATTGGGTTAGTTAAATCTGCTGATTCTCGGACTTCAATTATGCAAATATAACTTTCAATATAAGTATCTAGCGACCAATTTAAAATTTAAGGTCGTTTATTTCGTTAAAATTAATTTCATCTGTAGTATTCCTTCAATAAAAATAATAATTTGTGATAGTTATTATATTGCAGATGACGAAAGACTTAACAACCCAATTACAGTTATCGATTATGACGACGATGCTTTCCCTATTTATTGTGTCACCTTGACGTCACAAGAGCATTTTGTCGCTAGGGGCGCAACTTTTAGAATATATATATATATATATGGTTCATAATGTTGACATTGACAAAAAGATTGCTATATGTCATTAGACCCTGTAGCGTTAGAATGATTCTAGCCAGAAACTGATAAAAGCTATTAAACATAATTAACACATGTTTATTTACATTTTAATGAACTTTATTGAACGATTTCTACGCATATGCGGAACACATGGGTTGGGTACGGGTTATAATTGTCTATGGTTTCACGGAGACTGGTGCTAGTTGAATGACGTAATGTATATCGCATTGTGCATTACTAGAAGCTTCTTTGGGACTGGTAGTTGGACGATAGCTTGTATATAGATGATATATAGATATCTTCACAATATATATGATATACATAACTATAATGACCGCAGTCGATCTTCGCATAATTTGCATGCATCTCTACCATGGGCGCAGGCAGCCGCGTCTGTGATAAATCCTGCTTTGAGGCATAAAGCACAGTCTTGTGACGGGTTAGCTAGGCCACATACAGCTGTACCCATAGACTCTGTTACCATCAATCCCAATACGAGAACAACCAGAATTGCGTACTTCATCTGAAAATAGTAAAATGACACATATTTACATATATTGTCACATACGTTTCAACCTTACTAACAAGTTTTCTAGGCAGTGTCGGAAAATAACATCAGTCTGAGACTGACTGATTTTGCGTAAGACCAGTAGCTTTGACAACTAACATTCCCCTTGACCGATATGGACTGGCAACATTATTGCTTGCAAACTGAAATCATGAATTAAGAAATTATTATTATTTCAACAATTATATATGTGATCACCTTGACAACTGATGGTTTCTGGTATTAGTTTCCACAAAATCTATAAAATCTTATATAAACTCTAATATTGTATATCATGAGACTTTAATATATTTTTAAATTTAACATAAAACAAATATCCAAGATTTTTTAGAGCCAACAAAACACACATTCTGTCATTCAAACAAAACCTCTACCAACCAAAAGCGCCATCAGTGTTCGGTGAAAGTCGCCCTTTTCTTCCCACAACGAGGCTCCCACAATGCAATGCAACTCTCAATATGAGTTAGCTTGACTTTTAAAGCATGTACACAACTTGTTTACAACTTTCAAATATGGCCCTTTGCATAAATTATGCAAATCATTTTTTAACGTAAAAATAAATATATAGATAAAACCTAATGATTTATAAATTTATTTCTATTGATTATAAGTATCTATCTTTATTTTGGCCCAAAATGTATTCATTTTCCAGCACACACGTCAGATGTAAATGTGTACAAATGTTAAATTAAAGAAAAAATCAACTATCATGAGAAAAAAATTAAAGCACAGTCTAAATTGTTAATTAATGTATTTGGTTGTATTTGTTATCCAGTTTCGTTATTTTGGCATATTGAAGTTATTGTTCCATTTAGTGTTCACTTTAAACCTTCAAATTTGCTATTTTTTTAAAATACAAGACAAAATTTTTCATGTACATAATGATATAATATATGCCAAAAAACTCTGACGTCACAATTATTTACTGTCGAATGTATTTATTTATAGTACTTGCTCAGGAAATTATAACAGTTTTGAATAAGTGTGTTCATTTTAACAGACATGTAATTATCTTTTATAATGTTATAGTTGACTTGGAACTATAGTGTCAGTATATTTACAAGTACACTAGTCTGATGTGATTGCAGTCATAAAAAAAACAGTTGTTTATTTCATTCTCAGCAACACTTGATCACATCGCCATACCGTTTTCAAAAGCATATTTCAATAAAAAATAATTCATTCATTTTTTTTCTTCAGTTGACATGTCTTTTCATGTAAGTAGATTACTAATGTTACTATCGGCGAATCATCGGTCGGAGCTACGTCACAGAACGTTCTACGCTGCTATGGCGCGCAGCATTGTACCGTGTATTTCTATGGGCACTGCGCGAGCTGTTTTGGAAGTCGAGGAAACAGGACAAACTCAACTCAGGAGAGTCTCAACAACTATCCCAAAGTACACTTTTCTAGGAATTTTCGGCCTTTGTTTTTACCGTGATTGTTGCCAAGCGGTGAAAATGTCCCGATGTCCGCTCCGATGGTACAATAATTGTAATCTTTGCCGAGGCTTATGAACTGTCACTAGAATTATACATAAATCATATATTGCGCTTTTTATTTTTAAGATTATTGGAATTCCGTATATTGTTGCTATAGCATTTTACCTTTGTGTACAGATTTGTATGCCTATCAACGCTCCAAAGGAATCTGATAGAATTGTAGAGAACTTCTATAGAGAATATTATTTCTATAGAAAGTTTATTCTTTTCGTGGGTATTGTAATGTGAAATTGGTCGTGATAGTCAACGCGAGTATGGCGGTAGTCGTCATCATGAAGGCCATTTTGATATTTGCAGAACTGTTAAAGCCGCGGCTTCTACTAATGTGCAATAATGAAACAAAAGGGAGGCGGTTTTTATCAGAGCATCTAGTCGCATGGGAAATGGGGCATTTTGAGTTAACAATTAAATGAATGCGGCTTCTGATACAGATTTTACGGCGGCGATGTTCGTAATATTTCTAAGATATTAAATAGTCAATAACGCAATACAAAGACGTGTTTATTGTTGACCAGACTAAACAAGTAGAGTCTCAGTACTGGCATAACAATGCTGCCCCTCTTAAACATAGGCATGCAAATTAACGACTTTAAATTAATCACCACATCCCCCGGTAATTGCCTGAAATTTATTTGTTTCTTTGTTTTGTTTTCAATGGGGCGGGTTGTATCACTGCTGTGCGACAACATCACATGACGATCGCCTCAATTTCAAATATCCAAGTCACGCATGCGTAGTTATAGCAACCGTTGAGGGGGTACTTTTTATAACCTAAAGTGTTTTTGTGATTTCTTTGTTAACGCCGACAGAAATGACAAAACGGTTTTCAGAAAATGTCACGCGATATCGAAATTAATCTTCGTAATGTAACTACTATTTGTGAATGGTGATAAACCACTTTGTTCGTTGTACGAATTAGGACATATGTTGCGAGGTGACGGGTATCCGAGTGGCAGCATGCAATGCTGTATAGTACACGTGTGACCTGATTTACACTATAATTAATTATGACAAGCTGTTTTTTTTTGTAAATATAAATTCAAAAAATTCGTGATTCGTTCTTATGTTCGTGCATTGAACATTTGATGCACGAGATTAACAAAACGAGGTGGTGTGTACGAAACCTACGTTTTTGTAAAGGCTCATGTTACAAAGAGAGTGTCAGTCATCTCATAGGAATATTTCCCAAGAATTGTGTTGAATTTAGCACATTTTGAATATACCTAAGTACAAGATAAGTGTCCCGTGTAAATATACGTCAATATGTAACAAGCTAAAGACGCTCGGTGTTTTTCTCGATGGATGTATTCCAGTATATTGGCTATTTTCTGTACAGCTGTAGATACGCACTTGGAGAGTTATGGTGAAGTGCGTTTAGTCGCTATAGTAACCAAAGAGAGCTGAGCAACTTTTCTGGGCAGCATTTATTACCATTTAGTCTGATTGGTCCGCTGAAATACCGAAAGTTTACCAGCATTTTAATATTAATTAATGAGAAGGACATTCAAGCTATGTACGTCATTGTTTATCAAGAATTTCAAAAGGAACAGACAAGAAATACGAACGTTAAACTAATATGGCAGTGACGTTATTGTTTTGTTCGTATTGCGGTAGACTACATTCAACAATAAACGCCAATGCCCGCTTTTTAACTATTCCATGAACAGTTTGATACGGAAGCGGTTCAATTCCATGATATTGGTGGTATAACGGCATTTTCCTCGATATACATACATTTCGTTTGTTAAATAACTAATTATTTAATATATATATATATATATATATATATATTTATAATGAGTTTTACTCGTATTGCATGTGGTGTCAAGAAAAATACAGACTCGCCCTATATGAAATAATTTCCAACTGCTATGTAGTAACTATGAGAACGAGGCGATGCAGTATAGGAGTCGTTTTATACCCCCTCTCCTCGATAATGAAGAGAGCTACACCATATCATATGTGTATGCCGGCTCGTTATATAAGGGAAAGTCATCACGAGTATCAAGAGCATTTCTGTTTGAGTCATTCGACGTATCGTATTCAATAATGGTTCCATGCGACGTAGACAACGCGTGCAAAATACATTTTTTTTTTCATACGACACTTGAACGCGCTACACAACGAAACGACCATTAACTAATTGTTATCATACATTACAAATTAGTTATTCAAATAATAAATCAGTAAATCATGGCCATAATTTTTAGTTATTATAACTAGAAATACAAAATTGTTACACCGAGAATTGTAATGTTACGGCGCTAAATTTGTATTATACACAATTCACAATTTGGTAACTCAAATATTATATATATTGTGTTTCATTTTGACGATACATGATTTCACCGTTACTGTAACATGTTAATTCAACCCCATCTCTGGTTACAAGATTTAAGTTAGCACAGGGATGGTCTTGACGTAATGACCAAAATTTACAAAAAAAACAAAACAAAACAAATAAACTTGATTCAATGTAATTCTATATATTGTTGCTTTGACATTTTAAAACTGCTTGGAGTTTTATAGTATGTCTATCACTGCCTAATATGAATCTGATAGAACTGTGGACAACCTCTAAAGACAATATAGTCTATATATAACAATACCCATGCAAATAATTTCTATAGAAATATGGGATCTACTGCTGCGAAAAGTGCAAAATCGAAACGAAATCTAAATTAATAACCTAACCATCAAATGTTTCCGCTAGATAATATTTTGAAGTAAAAGATAGTGGAATTTAAATTTCTTTTGACTATTGTGATACAAACATTACGGTTGTGGACGACAGAACAATAATATGTACACGACTGTTAGGATATAGCATACATAAACCGAAAAAAACATAGTTATTTTACAATGACAATCTTCAAACATTCGTGGATATTGTGAACAAATGAAAATTGTTTAGTCACCAAATTACAATATGGAATTGTTAAGACAAAAGTCAATCCGAGAAAGTAAGCGAGAATAGTCGTAAAAAACTGATCGAATTGGTTCGTGACAATGATATGTGGAGAAGAGGTGCTCATTCCGTGGAGCAGCCACGGCGATGACAGATAACAAACTGACCATCGTATAACTGCACAATAAAGCCGGTCATAAATATAACAAAATGTCCGAAAACTGAATTATACTGAAAGGAATAAAAACTTGAAATAGATTCATTTCAGCAGATTACTTCTAATATGACCCCTTTCACCGCAGAAGTTATCCTCCAGAATTTCTACCGAAATAACACGATCACGCCGCCGTGGTATGCGATAATTATTATCCCACGTATATCCGAGTACACGAAGTTCTGTTTTGAATAATTGACTCTACGTCTATCAAGTACAACTGCGATATGTATTTGGAATTAGGAAATAAACAACTGACATTTTGCGCCTTGATGGCTGCACGCGGAAATGTCCGATGTATCAAATTAAACGAAGAAATATTGTTTTATATGTTTGGAAATACACGCACAAATACACACTTGTATACCATTGTGCTAAATTCACGGTTCGTCATTCCGCATTGATATTATCCCAGATAATGTCTCACTAATAAGCATGATATGAATAACTCACTTTCAACAGCGATACAGTCTTGCCGTTATAGGAGACACCAATGCAGGTACGCTCTGTCAAGAAGAAAAGTGGGAATCAGATAGTCGTGTCGAAATTCCGATATATGTAACAGCAGCCAACTCCGTCACTGCTCGTTTAGAGCTGCGTATAGGGACACGCGCCTCGTGACGTAGTATAATACTATGTCACATCCCGTATATGCAAATTATCAGGGTCACACGCTCACACCCTTTGCACAGCCTGGCCCATATACAAGAGGATACAAAAGAACGGCACATTTAAACATAAAGTTAGTTGATATCTTTTTTGATGAAAATAAAGTACTACACAATGACAACACCATACAAATAATGTATAAAATATAATATACACCCGACTCGGTTACCTATGTTTGCAATCGTGCATGGTAATACGTAGGAAAAAAACATGTCTGACGTTGAAATACGGTGTTGTAATTGTGTATTGTATTTCGCAATGTATTCAAACTTATAACAAATATATCATTTTGTATTCATGGTATTTTGAGTAGACTATTGCATAGTCAAATTCATTCACTCGTTCATTTATTCAACCAACCAATAGTTTGTTAATTCATTCGATTTCTCTGACACAGATTTGTTACCTAAAATTATGACACTCTGTGAGGAAATGTTAGACTAAACTCACAGAGTATATGCTCACCGCGACCACCCCCAGCCACAAAAACTTCCCTTTATTTCAGTGTCGTCAACTTCGCGTGAAGCTACACTGGTTGAACTGGATGTCAGGCAACGTATACTACAATGATTGGAAAGAACAGCCCATCAAAATATCAAAATAAATATTCAAATTATTCAATAATATTCGAGTAAATACTTATAAAACAATACACAAAGTCGCTTGTGTTTTCAGTTTTAGTCTGTAATCTGCTCCTTGGATCTCATGACTCTTAAACAGTGTGAATAAACTATATTTTGAAAGAACGAAAAAGTTTTCCTCAAAAAAGCGAAATAATAACATCTTTAACACGGCGGTGATTACTGGCTGTAATTCGCTGTTGAGGTGTTGAAACTAACATGATCTATTGTGTAATGCACTATGACAGGAAGATGATTAGTCGAGTAATAGGTTGACAAATATTTCCGTGTTGGATTAGCATTGACTAAGAACTCTATACAAATGGAAGGGGGAAACGGACCGTTGATAATGTATGTACCTGGTATAGTGCTTGAGCTTGCATCCACTGACAGAAATGTGGTTTCATGTGAATTAGGAAATAATCCCCACCTGTCAGGGGACTAAGTGTTTGCAATTGGAATGTCAAAATTTCAAAACTCCCAAATTCATGTTATTTTTGAGTTGTGAAGAATATCTGCTGACATTATCATCAATATTTCTCTTGTGCAAATTAGTCCGTGATTATAACTCAATGCTGGTGGATATTCAGCAGCATGTACTATAGGAACGTAGCTTCAATACTAGGTTATTTTGGAGTAACACATTATTATTGAATGCCATACGCCTATTTTACACAGGCTCTCGTGGGGATAGGTTCCAGCCACTCTGCCATATCACGCTACTTGTTGCGACAAATATACTGTTTGCGTACACGGGAGGCAACAACATCACTTGGAACGAAAGCTTCACATTCCTGAACGCAATACTGAAACCAAGACTGCCGCAAGCATGTGGGTAGAAAGTACCTGCTGCACTAATCCGACTAATAGTCGCACCCTTTGTCAATACTGCATCACAGAATTGTACTAAAATAAAATAAAATTGTACTAAAATAAAATAACAATATATTTTCCGATTTGCAACTTCTAACGGAGTATAAGGAAATAATAAGTGTTGCATTCCAGTGGGAACAAATTGCCCTACAGTTAATAGTTAAGCACGTAACTCATAAAAGCTACATTTTTTTTACTTTACGTTCATATATATTGACGATGTGCTTTCAAGATATTGTGATTACATTCTATTGGTATTTCCGAGTCATTTCGTTCGCGTCGTACACTGATGTTTACTTTTGATTTGTTTTTTGCTTTTCTTTTTGGCAACATAATCTTTAGCAAATTATTTGTGCTTATGTTATTAATGGTACATGGGTCGGTGGTCTCAAATGCAGAATAAGAATAAACATATTTGTATTAAAAATTAGGATTTCAATTGACATGATTCATTTTCTACTTGATGTACGCTCGTGGTTTATTATAATTGGGTATCGCCGCAGTCAATTCTAATGATGTAGCATATACCGTAAATCTAATTGCACGGCAACAGATGTACACTCTACCATGGAATTAGTGGAAATGTTGAAATAACGTATCCAATATATGTATCCTAGCAACCGGTGGTAGATAATATTTTTCCGTAATGCATCCACATACGTGCTCGCACCATATGTGTCGGGCGCTCAAGTACAATGAGATTAACAGTCCTGTCATTGCCGGCTTGATCACAATCGACGTACACTGAGTATTACAAATACTGCTCTGTACGTATAAATTCATGACAAATGATATAACCTTCCTAGGACATAACTTCTGTAGTATTCCTGATATCATGGTTGCGGTTCATTCAAAGCAGTGCTGTTTATAATCAAATGTACTGTTAATACGTATACAGTCGTCTTTATATAATACTTTCATTGCAATAAATACAGTGCATATCGCTCTCCTTAGTCATATCACTGATGTAATATATGTCAATACTATGTTGGGAATCAACAATTCGTGTCTAACTGCAACTCATGCTCATTCAACGGAAAAGTATTATGCATGTTGTTAGGCTCTATGTGTAGGGATATTAAATATTACATGTTGAATCACGTTATATAATTTAAATTTTCGGTGTATGGGTAATAATGTGAATTTATTTTAGAAGTATTGCTATTTGGAATGAATATGGGTATTTAGAGTATATGGTTCAACAGTTTGTCAGCGGAATTTTTGCCAGTAAGAACATAAATCTTATAAATAATACATTCAAATATAATCAATATAATATATTTTTTTTTAAAGTTATATAATTTTATGAGAGAGTGATATTATTACAACTACGTGTATAACATCAACTAAACGCTACTGGACCAGTACGTGAAATAATGCTCTTTTTAATTCATCTATAATTATTTAATAATACTTTTTTTTTACTGTTTAATTGTTGGTTGCTTGTTGCTTAGAAGGTTGGTTTTGCGCTCGCAGTTTATGCGATGTTCTACATGTGACCATGAGTGTACTCATTTGTACTGCGGCTGTCGCAAATTGGGCAGATTCGGCCAATCAAATTGTTGTTGTGACCACATTTAATCAAATTTGTCGTCAATTTGTTGCATATTCATAGTCGGTCGTACTTTGATCTAATATACGAGTATCATGCTAACAGGCAAATTCAAAAACACCCATTGGCTAATTCAAGGCAGCTATGGTAGAAAGGTTAGTAAGCTGGAGATTGTAACATTCTTCTGTAAGAAAATGGCCCAGGGCTATTCCTGTGTTCAGCAATCCACAGACTCAGTCATTTTCCCCCTATGCCTGTCATTATGTTCCACCCAATTAATTAATTACATTGCCATACATCACAGGACTTTCTCGCATCCAAAATGTTAGATACTCCGCATAGCCAATATATACATCTCGTAGGTAGGGAATCATTGCTGTGCAGCATGAATAATTGTTGATAGTTTCATTAATAGAACCACATTTATCACAAATTATTGTAGATTTTTAGTCATTTCAATAGTCATTGCTTATTAAGTGCACATGGAGAAGTAATATTTGAAAACAATAATATGTGGCAGTGTCTAATAATAATCTAGCTTCTCCTTCACCGAAAGTTATCCTCCGTTTTATAAATTGTCTCTTAGAACACCGCGAGATAGTGCGTGTTTACAGATATAAACCCACGAAAAGCGGACATCAACATTTTAGTGCACACAATTATTGGCTTAGATGTTTCACGTGTTATCAAATCTGGGCCGATTGATCCATGCGCATGTAGAGTGCTATAATTGTATTGTCAGTTGATAAGCTTTGTACGTTTCCAACTTCAACAAGACCTACTATAATAGGAGCTTGTCAATAACGGACGCCAACTATAATGGGAAAGCTTGTTAATAACTGACGCATTATGGATTACAGAATGGCTTTCTTTGTATGCGAAGTAAGCCTGGATCCTGGCTAAATATGTAAAGAGGATAACGAACGGACACATGCGGTGTTACAAATTCATAAATAAGGTTATATTTGACCCGGTAATGACGGACACAGCTAATAGAATGTTGAAGGACGGCATTGGTAGACCACTTAGTTTATTGAAATAAAATTATATTTGCTACCTTGGACAACAATTTTTGAACGTAAACGGACACTGAAATCTCGTTGAGAGCGAGAGGTTCACGAGATTTGTCTCTTTTCAAATAGCTTTCGCTACACATAACACAAATGTGGCCACAATGGCCAAACATTTGGGAGTTGCGTGATCGTGTGACGCCAGAGTGAAGAGATAAATGTACGGCTATTATTCTTGTTAAGAATCTGTTAAAATTTTCACATTTCTGATATCTTTGTATGATTTTGTTGAGCCATCTGTTGCTGAGACTCAAGATTCAGCATATTTCAGACCTAAAAGTAGAAGATTAAAATTAGAAACCATGCAAATAATTGTGATTGGCGTTTCCTAACTCGTATATCTTCTTATACATCTGGAGGCGACATTATACCGATATTTAATAAAAGTGGTATACATCTTTATGTAACAAGCGATTGTATTTATTTTTGTTGAAATGCAGTTTTTCATCAGTTGCACAAACAAGGTTATATCAAGTTCCCCATATTTAATAGATTCAATTTATATATTTGTTTCTAAAAATGTGCATATTCTGTGTTTCCAGTTACATAATTGGTAGTGTTCAACGTACACCGTGTGATATATAAAGCCTTGCATGGTAATGTTTATTCTAGCAATGCTTAAATCTGATTGATGGGTTCGTTTGCACCTGTCATTCGTTGTATTATCAATATTTGTCTTTCATACGTCATATATTTTTATAAAAGCTAGATTTAATATAAATGGGTCATTTTTTGTCATTTCAATTGATCTTTGGGACATTGATCATACAACTTGTGTAACAATGCAGACTGCCAGTTTAACGCTAGAGAAAATTGTAATTGGTTCTCGCCTCT